CTTCCTCTTCGTGCTCGGCAAAGGCAGCTGACGTCCTCCCTGAGGTCGCAAGAGTGAATGTCCCACACTCGGCAGTGTGCTGTGCTGCTAAGCTGTGAGGTTCCATGGCTTTTTTCACTTTGATGATTTGCTGGTGACCTGAGGTACAATGGCAAGGAAGGTACTCCATCATGATTGGCATGCGTCAGTTCAACCCCATGTGCCAGGGGCCACTGTAAGGATACGTGTGTGTGATTAAAGTGTGAGTCCTCTTGCCTGGAGCTCCCTCCGTGGATGAGTGTGAAGTGGAGACCTGGACCTGCTGTTGCTTCCCCCGTGAACGGTGCCTTAGCCACGATGCTTTCGCAGTGAGCAGTAGGCTGCTGCTCAGTAAGCGGGCTCACTGAGTTCACAGACATCTTCCTCATCCTGGTCTCCCAGCTGCGCAGTACTCCGTGCTTATCACGTGTGTGTTTTATTTGCCTACTTACGTGTGGACAATCCAGGATTTTGCAATGGTAAACAAAATGGCCATGAATAAGCTTGCGAGTTGTGTTACTTTTAAGTACAGTGCGTGTTACAAATTAACCTACAGATAGCTGCAAACTGATGAAATGGTGCAACTCACAGCATAAATAGTTTACTCTCTGAGAACTCATAGGTCAGCTGAGGAGCACTTTAGTATATGGATCCTTCACTTGAAAAAGCAAACAGCTTCACGTGACTGTCAGCTCATTCTCTGGAAAACTGGGAACTGAAGAGAAAGAAACACCTTCTGTCTGTAAAATTCACATCAGAAATGCCGTGAATTCTGGACTAGCAAATTCAGTGGGGTATTATCCTTGAGAAGTACTCTTCCATTTTTAAAAATTAAATTATTATCTATAAGAAAAATACAAAGTTTTCTGAAGACTTACTACATAAATCATTAGTTCAAAAACCATACTATATTTTGCTTGAGAAACCTGTAAATACTACAGGATAATAATTTTGTATGGCATATTTTCTTATTTAAATTGGATAAACAATTCAGGTTTCCATCTTGAGGTGCCCTGTTTCTTAGCTTGCTTTTTGTTCTATTTATATTTTCTCTATTTGAAAGGCAAAAAGACCGAGAAAGAGAGCTCCCATCCTCTGGCTGATTCCCTGGATGCCTGTAACAGCTGAGGCTGGGAGCTGTGAACTCAGTCCAGACCTCACGTGGTACTGGGCACCCAACTCTCTGAGCCATCACTTTTTGCCAGGAAGCTGGAATGAACGGAGCCCGTATTGGAACCCAGGCACTGCAGCGTGGGATACAGGCATCCAACCCAGCGGTGTAGCTGCTAGGACACGCCTGACATGTGAATGAAAAAACAAAGGTGTTGGCTGGGACAGCCTTTAGGTTGGTTACAGTCCTTATCTTCTAGGAGATTTTGCTCAGCCCGCTCTTCAGCTCACTGCTGCCGTTGTACTTGGTGCTTGGTGTGTTTGTTCCTCCTCGGGGTCGCCGTAGAATCGTGCGTGACAACAGCAACGAGTGCTTTCTTCTCTCAGTCCTGTAACTACCGAAGCCAAATGGCGGCCAAAGGATACATTTTTGTAGGAACAATCTACGAGGCTTTGCGCCTGCCTTGAGTTTTGTCAGTCCGTGCCTGGCAACATGACACAATTTTGATTTTGCAAAATTTACTGGGTAACCTCACAAGAGTGCCTTTGTGAATAAAAAGTTCAGATGTGAAATACTTTCTGGAACCATCTAGAGGTTTTGCCTCGTTGCGGAAGGATCACAAACTTAGAGCAGAAGACTTCATTTTCTTTTCTTATTCCTTGAAGGAAGTAATTAGGAACCAAGAGGTGGTTTTTACCCTTTAATTTACAAATGAACAGAGCGTGGATTAACCTGGGAGTGGTTAAATGACTCAACACTTAGCTTGAGTCCCAGTGGCAGAGGACAGTGTTCAGAGGGTTTTCATGAGAAACTGACATGTTTCTTAAACACGACTTATAAACCTCATTTTCTTTTTGGGACAACACAGTTTTTCCTAAATTGTTTTATATATTTATATATAACGTGTGTGTTTATATATATAGTGTGCTGTTCACACTGAAGTACAAAAATATGAAACAATTTGGTATTAATGAGTTAAACATTTGAAGTCAAGCTGTGAGACTGAGCGCTGGAGTCCAAACGCCGCTCTAGATGAATGGCTTACTGTGAATGAAAGCTGGGAGATGCATTACCATCATCTGTGATGTTAGCGTCCTCATGGTGGAAGATCCAGCCTCTGTTCACGCCCTTCCCTCCTCTGCTCTCTGTCTTACTCCTCGCAGCTGTTATTACAAAAGCTTGAAATTGTACCAACACCTTTGAGGCCTTAGGATTTTTCCCTTGAGGGATCTGTGATTTCTCAGCAAAACAAAGGAAGCAAGGAAGTGCGTGCGGTTTCTCTTTCTTTCCAGGTCTTCTCCTTCTCTTTTGTCCAACTTACAGGTAGGCGTCTTGGGTCCTTTCTCTAGACTCCTGTCCTGCGTCAGCTGACGGGCCCCTCTCCTGTGGAAGCAGGGAGGGCCAGGCCCGAGGCAGCCCACCCCTGGAAGGAGATGCCTTTACCAAGGGTGGGCTCTGGCCCTGATGCCCTGCTCGGGGAAGAAGAGGCAAAGCGAGCCGCGGAGAGCTGACCTGAGTGTTGCAGTGTTGCTGTGTTAAGGTTGAGAGTGGAGGACAGCTGGGGCTTCCGCACTGCCTTGTGGACTGCTCTAACAATGGAAAGTGAGAAGCGAGCACGGAAGGGCCGTGCGGCTCTGGGAGGAGGAACCTCCACACTCCAGTATTTGAGATGAGTGCCTGTGAGGTATTCATCTGGGTAATGCTGAGTGTACCTCCTGCAGCAGTGCTGAAAGTGGCCAGGGGTTTCTGTTATTGTTCACCCTTCAGGGAAGAATGTGGATGTATAATGCAAGAGATTTGTGTTATGAGTAAGTTTTAATTAGAGAGGCCTTGTAGGTGCTGGCCTGGGACTGACCCGGGTGGACCCTGTTGGGGGCTGGTTTGAAAGCGACCCCAGATTATGGCATTCGTGGCATTGGTAGTGGCAGCTATGTGGTTGCAATGGGTCCCATACATTTTCTGCTGAGTGCATTTTCACATTATTTTAAGCATGTTATATGTGTTTCCACATTATTGTATGTTGAGCCCCAGAAGTTGTGTGTGTGTGTGTGTGTGGCAGGGGTGGGGTGTATGGTGTAGGAAAACACAGCTATAAAAGTATCTGTGGGTATCTGGCTGTTGTGACTGAAGTTGCTTCTAAAGCATTACCTTTATCTCACATCACTCTCAAGGCTCAGGTCAAGGTTGCTTTCCGTCCTTACAGAGCACACGGCAGTGGGGATTCTTTTTAGAGGTTGTCGAGCAGTCCTGTGGCTTTGGGAACGGCTGCCTCGGCTGGGAGGGAGCGGCGAGGGACTGACTTAATTGACCACCTGCACAGTTGCTGGCTCTCCACCAAATATGCCCCTGGTGGGATTTGGCTCACCCGGCAATTATCTCAGTGGCCTATCATTTTTAGCAAGTGTAGGAACCAAGGCTAGGGATGGAGTGAGATTGAAATAGCTTGACTGTGTTCACTGGTGTGTCTTCAGGTCTAAATATTTTTCAAGGAGTGTCTTACAGATAGTGTCTCTGCAAAAATGGTTTTATTTGCTACTGACTTACAGTAGAGACCAACTTCTCGGCTAGAATTTCAACTTTTTTTTCACTTTGATGATTTGCTAGTGACCTGAGGTATAATGGCAAGGAGAGTACTCCATCATGATTGGCATGTGTCAGTTCAACCCCATGTGCCAGGGCCACTGTAAGGATACGTGTGTGTGATTAAAGTGTGAGTCCTCTTGCCTGGAGCTCCCTCTGTGGATGAGTGTGAAGTGGAGACCTGGACCTGCGGTCGCTTCCCCCGCTGACCCAGCTCCTGAGGCCTCCACTGGGCCTGCTCTGGGGTTTGAAGGGCAGCATGTTCATTGTGGTTTAGTGGATCGTTTAGTCAACAGCTCCTGTGTGAAAGCCACTACTTAGTGCCCATAGGCTGCTGTTCAAGCTAAGAAACAGTGATCTGTTCCCATGCTGGGGAGTTCCTGGCTACGTAGGGCTATTTTCTGAAAGCGTTTTCAAGGGTGACTTTACTGGCAGGTAACTCCTGTGAATTAAATGTGTCCCCCTCCCCACCCTCAAGTTCAAATGTGGAAGCCCCAGCCCCAGTGTAACTACTTTCGGAGGTAGGGCCTTTAGGTGATAACTGAGGGTGAATGAGGTCCCAAGGGTGAGGCCCTGATCCTGGGACTCATGGCCTTAGAAGAAGAGGAGGATGGAGATCTGTGTGCTGTGTCTTGTGTGCATGTGTGTGCACACACACGCACCCCACCAAGGCCTTGTGAGGCCACCTCGACTGGGATTCACACACTAACATGCTGTGCATATAGACTGAAGTATTTTTGAAGTGAATCATAGGCATTTTAGCAACTACATGTTACATAAAACTGATGGCTTCGTTCAGCATAGATCGCATTAGAAATTTGTCAGAGAGCTTGAGTGAGCAGGTCATGGCTTCTGCAGGTGGCCTTGAATATCTCCCCTGAAGAGGAGGCGGATGAGGTTCCCCAGAACCCCTTAGTGTGTGTGGCTTCCATGTGCCTTCCTCTTTCCCCAAAGGAGTGAGTGTGAAGGCGGAAGAAGGCGGGGGGGTCTAAGAGTTCCTAGGCTTCCTAAACAGGAGAGGGTGGTCTCCAGTGAGCTGAACCAGAGAATCCTGTGATGCCAAGGCAGCGGAAGGCACAGTTCTCTTGTTCATGGGGCACCTGGCAGAGAGGAGCGTGAGTGTGGTCTGGGGGTCACAGGCAGGATTTAAGGGGAGTGGGAGCAGCTGGCTTTCTCTGCAAGGCTGGCTTTGAGAGAGATACGTGAGAGACAGCAGGGAGGAGTCCTAAGGTGAAGTTGCTGGGGATGTCTGATACTAATGCACGTTGCTTTTTTTCCCCAATTTTTTTAGCAATCAGAAATGAGTGAACAAGCAACAGAAAGCAGTTCCACTCCACAGGGACCCAGGGATAGAAATTCTCCTGAGAAAACCTGCCAAATCGGACAGAAGCAGCTGGTATGGAGCCTGGCCTCTGTGCGGTCTGGGGCGAGCAAGCAGGAAGCTGGGCCAGGCAGCACTCGTGGGAATGGTCTCTGTCCCCCCACGCCGGGACTCTGTGCTCCTCACTGGTCTAGGCTCACCTCCCCGTCCCCTCCTGCCTCTCATACCCCCTGAACTTAAGCCCAGTTTTCTCTGCAATAGAATCCTGCTCTCAGAGTAGAATACTGCTGAATACATTCCTGTGTTTCCCTTTATCAAGCCCTTATTCTGTTTTTATTATGTCGTGTCATGATTCTAAAACCTTGTGTGTTTCACTCCTCTGATCATTGTCACCAGATAACCCATTTATCAGAGAACCCCATTTAACAGAGGGAGAAACAGAGGCTTAGCAAAAGCAGGTACTGCTCAAGGCACGCCAGTAGCAAGTGGCATTGCCGACACACGCCTACTCAGCTCACTCCTGTGTCTCGGTTCTTAGCCCTGGCTGAGCTGCAGAGAATGCGAGAGTGATGGGTGGCACCAGGCTGCCTTACTTCATAGCTGCACCTGAATGCAGAATGGCACTTGTGAGGTTCAGTGTGAAAGCAAATCCATAAACACACATCAGGGTGAAAGTTTAAAGCAATGTGTTTATTATTCTGTGCCGAAAGTGATTTAGCCAAATCCACTGCAGAGCGGCCGAGGTGAGTTTGCTACTCACTCGTTACATGGGAAGTCCCACAAGGGAAGTGTCCCTCATGGATGGGCCAGCTCTGTTTCAGACTGCTCAGGTGGTTTTCTCCTAAAGCCCTTCTAGGCAATACCCTCATACCCAAAGTGTTACATGTCCAGAAGGAGTCATCGGGGCCAGCACTGTGGCGCCGCTCGGGTTACTTGGGTCACCTCTGTCACATCTCAGGGCTGCAATTTGAGTCCTCATCTGGCCCCCTGCTAGTGCACCTGGTAGTTGGTAGATCCCTGCCACCCTCACGGGAAACCTGGATGGACGTCCTGACTCCTGGCTTCAGTCTGGCCCAGCCCCGGGCTGTTACAGGAGGGAGAGCTCCCTCTCTCTCTCTTGTTTCACTCTGCCTTTCAAACAGCTGATCACAAATACACATTTTTTAAGTGAGTCATCAGGAGTTTATTGAAGCATTTTGTTGCCTGCCTTCCTGCTTAGGCCCCATTCCTAAGGGTGAGACTGAAAAGTTTCCCAGCACCCCAGGGAGTCACTGTGAGGCTTTTCTTCTTCAGGTGTGGCTCTGGTGGAGGCTGGACACTGTAGGTGGTTTCTGTGCCCTGTGGCAGCCCCGGGGGCCTCCACACTCCCAGGGTGGGAAGCAACTTTCACCCTGTCTCAGTCCCTGAATTTAGGGCAGGGCACGTGTGCTTTGGGTCTCCCTGTGCTGTGAGACCCTCGGCATGGGCTTTTCTAGCTAACAGGAAATTCTGACACCCATCCCCATCAGATTTGGGAAGCTGACTGGTGTTTTGTGGATATAAAAAGAGTTCTGTCCCCCTTGATTTTTTTTTTTTTTACATTTTTGTATGTGAGTTTTATAATTTTTTTTTTGTTCAGGAAGAATACCCTAATTGGGGAAAGCTCATATCGTCTTTTTTTTTTTTTTAAAGATTTATTTATTTGAAAGTCAGAGTTACACAGAGAGAGGAGAGGCAAAGAGGTCGAGAGAGAGGTCTTCCATCCCCTGGTTCACTCCTCAGCTGGCCACGATTGGAGCTGCGCCGATCCAAAGCCAGGAGCCAGGAGCTTCTTCCAGGTCTCCCACACGGGAGCAGGGGCTCAAGGACTTGGGCCATCCTCCACTGCTTTCCCAGGCCACAGCAGAGAGTTGGATTGGAAGTGGAGCAGCCGGGACTTGAACCGGTTCCTATATGGGATGCTGGCACTGCAGGCGGAGGCTTAGCCCACTACGCCACAGCGTCGGCCCCTCATATCATCTTTTGAAACTTAATCAGATGCACTGTTTCTCTGTGTAAACTGTAGTCATTTTCTTGTGTTATAGTAGTTTACAGAAATTTTATTTTAAGGCAGTATAAACACATGAAGCTCTTCTATATTGTGTTCATTTCACAGCAGCAGATAGAGCGACAGCTCCGATGCCTGGCATTTCAGAACCCAGGACCCCAGGTGGCCGATTTCAACCCCGAGACTCGGGAGCAGCGAAAGAGGGCTCGGATGTCAAAGATGAACGAGTATTTTTCTGCAAAGAGTAAGTAAGTCCATGACCTGTTATATTCGATTTGTGGAACTAGGATGTGCGTTTTCTAACTGACAAAGCAAAGTGATTAAAGATTGCCTCTTTTTATGACTTAAAACTACCTCTTCTAAAGGACAGTAGTAGTGCATGTATCTGGAAATTAGCAAAGTCAAGTAGCAGCGTACTCTAATTCCAAATGAAGAGACAGTTTTTTTTTTCCCCAAAAAGGGATTCAACAGCCCTGTACCAGAATAATAGCTCTGACAGGAAAGATGATTGCGGGAAGCAAAGGTGTCTCATTAGGGGCAGAAATAATAACAACCATGGGAAGAAGTCATGGTATCAGATGGCCATAGCACAGTCCCTGCTGCAGTGATTGTTAGTGCATCCAAGTATAAATTAGCAAACCACAAAGGAAAGGTTGATAAATTCGACTACATCAAAATTAACAACCTGTGCCCATTAAGACACCCTAAAAACAATGAAAAACAAGTCACAAAGTGGGAGAGGTTATTTGTAGTTAAAAAAAAAATCACTGTCCAAAATATACAAGGAATCTCACAAGTCAATAAAAAATAATAAATACTGTAATGGAAAAGTGAACATAAGAGACGGGCTTTTCATAGGGAAAAAGGTAGCTCAGCATCAGTCAGGGTCCCGAGCCTCCTCCGTGCACGTGGAGATGTGCTGTGCCCCAGACAGGCAGAGCCCGGTGTGATCACAGCTAGGGCGGGACGCTGGCCCACATCAAGTGGGCGATGGTACCCCCACTGTCGGGAGGCAGCCTTGTGTGGCCCGTGTTCCTTCGGCCCTGAGACCTTCACTCCCGTTGTGTGTCCTGGCACGAGTCCGACTCACAGATGTGAGGAGCTGTGTTCAGGAGGTCCCAGCGTCACTGCAGCAGCAGAGAAAGCGGTGTTCCTAAAGCAGACGGCGTCCGCTGAAGGCACAGAAGTCCCTTGTGTATTCTTGCAGTAGAATACGTAGAGCTGCATCTTCTATCACGGAAGCATCTCAAGTCAAGATGTAGGAAAAACCCAAACGACAAAAAAGAGTTGTATTTATTTGAAAAGCAGAGTTAGAGACAGCAAGAGAGATTTTTCCATCCATTGGTTTATTCCCCAAATGGCTACAATGACTAGGGCTGGGCCAGGCAAGAAGCAGAAGCCTGGAATTCCATCCTGTTCTCCCACATGGGGGCAGGGGCCCAAGCACTTGGACCATCATTTCCTGCCTTCCAGTACAGTAGCCGGGAGCTGGATCTGAAGTGGAGCAGCTGGATTCAAATCGGTTCTCAGCTGGGATGTGGGCATTGCAGGCGGCAGCTTAACCTGCTGCACCCACAGCACTGGCCCGGGGCCTGCTTTTTATTTATTTAGTTAGTTAGTTTTGTAAGATTGATTGATTTGTTTGAAAGTCAGAGTTGTAGAGAAAAGAGAGGGTGAGAGGGCGGGAGGGAGCTGGGGAGAGAGATCTTCCATCTGCTGGTTCACTCCTCAGACGGCTGCAATGGACAGGAGCCGGGAGCCGGGAGCTCCATCAGGTCTCCTGTGTGGATGGCAGGGATCCAAGCACTTGGGCCACCTGCTGCTGCTTTCCCAGGCTGTTACCAGGGAGCTGGATGGGAAGTGAAGCAGCTGGCACACGAACTGGTGCCCATATGGGGTGACGCAGGCTCCACAGGTGGTGACTTCACCCATCGCGCCACACACTCCGGCCCTGGGTTTGCGCCCTTTTTTTTTTTTTTAAGATTTATTTTATTTATTTGAAAGACAGAGTTACAGAGAGAGGCAGCAGAGACAGAGAGAGAGAAGTCTTCCATCCATTGGTTCTCCTCAGATGACCGCAATGGCTGGAGCTGCGCCGATCTGAAACCAGGAGACAGGAGCCTCCTCTGGGTCTCCCACATGGGTGCAGGGCCCAAGGACTTGGGCCATCTTCTACTGCTTTCCCAGGCCATAGCAGAGAGCTGGATGGGAAGAGGAGCAGCCAGGACTCGAACTGCTGCCCACATAGGATGCCAGCAGCACAGGCTGAGGCTTAGTGTACTGCACCACAGCGCTGACCCCTGGGCTTGCTTTTTAAACATACATATGGTGGGGCTGGCGCTGTGGCGTAGAAGGTTAAGCCTCTGTCTGCAGTGCTGGTATCCCAAATGGGTGCCAGTTTGAGTCCCGGCTGCTCCACTTCCAATGCAGCTCGCTGCTAATGTACCCAGGAAAGCAGAGGAAGATGGCCTAAGTGCTTGGGCCCTGCACCTGCATGGGAGACCAGAAGAGGCTCTTGGCTCCTACCTTCAGCCTGGTCCAGCCCTGGCTGTTGCCATCATTTGGGGAGCAAACCAGTGGATGGAAGATCTCTCTTTTTTCCTCTCTCTTTCTGTATCTCTGCCTTTCAAATACATAAATCTTTAAAAAAAGTGCTTATTAAAAGATAAATGAATATGGTACGATACTTGATGGCTTTCATCCTTTGTTTAAATACTTGTATTCCAAGCAATGCTTTTGAAAGAGTGTGATTTACTAGGGAAAATCCCACTGAGAATAGTCATGGTTTAAAGGTTTGGAGCACCTGCCCGAGGAGGCCTTGGTCGCTCCCTGGAAGTCCTGGGGGGGGAGGACCTCCCAGCCTGCGGCACGCGAGACAGTGTGGCACGGGGCTCCTGTCCCTGGCGTCGGTCCCGGGAGGATTCTGGCGGTGGCGGGGGCGGGCGGGCCGGGCCGGCTCTGCTGAGACGCTAGCGGCGTGGCTCCGTCCTCCGCAGGGTGATGAAGAAGTACAGCAGGAGCGGCAAACTCCTCTGCAATGACGCCGACCTGTGTGACTGCCTGGAGAAGAACTGCCTGGGCTGCTTCTACCCCTGCCCCAAGTGCAACTCCAACAAGTGCGGCCCCAAGTGCCGCTGCAACCGCCGCTGGGTCTACGAGGCCATCGTCACCGAGTCCGGGGAAGTCATCAGCGCCCTGCCCTTCAGCGTGCCGGACTAGACTCGCCTGCCCCTGCGCGCCGCGGCCGGCCTGTCCTCCGGTGCACGGCGGGGCCAGGGCAGGTGCGAGGAGCACGCCTGCCTCGTGTCTCTCACGCTGCGGGGCAGGCTGGGGTGGGCAGTGATTCTAGAACCTTCTCGAATTCCTTGGCGTGTGACTGAGAAGTGCGACAGTGAGGGCCTCACCGATACCTGTCTGCTCCATCAGATTTGATTCTCTTCTCGTGTTCTGCCTGAGAAAATGCAGTTGTAATACTTTCGGGAGTCTGCAGTGGAGAGCTCTGGATCATACATTTATAGTATCTGGTTGTCCTTAGGATCTCGTATGTCACCATTCGAAATCACAGTTGACATTTGAACTTTTTTAAAGAAAAAAGACACTTGCAACTTTACACAGTATATCCACGGCCTCATTTTACTCGTGTATTAGTGACCTTAAAATGAATTTTGCTTTTGTATTTTACTGGTAAAATTGGACACTTAGGACTTGCATATCCTGAAAGTCAATGATTTTTTCACTTCAGGAGTAGTAGTTCCAAATTTTCTCCACAGAAAGGAAACTGGACTTGTTCTTTGTTCGCTAATCGAGTGTACTCATTCACAGGCAGTTGGCGGAACACTGCGGTGGGCTTTCCAGTTCTGATATATTGTAGGAGGTTAGCCTTCCATGAATTCATTTTTTAGAACTCTTTTTACCCTAAGTCAGCGGTTCTCCTCAGGACACCTGTCAAAGCCTCCATCTCCAGGCCCCACCCCTAGAATTCCCAGCTCATTAGGATGGGGGCTCAAGAATTTGCCTTTGTAACAGGAACCCTGGTGATGTCAATGTCAGAACCACTTTTCCAAGTTGTATTAGATACATAGGTGGCTATTTAAATACAGTAATTTATTATGTTTTTAACAGGAATAGGAACATTTTGTTTGGAAATAAATTTGCAATGTTACAAATGGGAGTTTTCAGAGTTCATTTTTCCTCCATAATCAGAATCAAAAACACTTGTTTCTGCACAGTTGCCTCCACCGGGAAAGACTTCTGGCAGTTCTGTACCTGTTACTTGACAGCATAATTTAGGACAGAATCAGCCAAAACCTCCCAAGTCGTGCTGTGACTGCTGTCTGTGTGGTGAGAGAATTTAGAGTTTCCTCTTCATTGTTTTCCATAGGATTCCCTGGGTTTTCCGGATCCCACTCAGTTCAGCTCCGAGCCGAACATTGTGCTAAGTGCTTCCTTCTCATGCCTCCTTTTAACCCTCACAACCCTGGGATGTAGGTAGAAAGTCTGCTGACCAGGAGTGTCCAGTCCTGAGACAAGGAGAGAGGGCCTGGGGCCAGCTGTGCTGACTTGCTCTAAGAGTAAGAATTATTTTGTAAGCGGTGGACCAAGGCCATCGTCAATAGCCTTTTTATTACAGAGTCCTCGTTGTCAAGCCCACAGGAACCCTCGGGCTCACTTGAAGAGTGACCTGGAGGCTGCCCTCTGCCGGTGGCCAGGCAGGTGCAGGGGTGAGCAACATTTGCCCGGGGCCTGTTTCCACAGGGGCTGTGGCCCCAAACCAGACTCTTTTTGTGTTTGCTGTTTTGTTTTTTCACTTTTACAACAGGGACTCAGAGGGATAAAATGACCTGGCAACTCTGGCTGATGGGACACAGTCGTGTTCTTTCCAAGATGGAAGGAATGTCCCAAACTGCCTGATCCTAAAACTGATCCTAAAACTCATCCAGGTCCCTGGAGACCCACGGGTCCCTGAGCCTCAGGAGCCAGAGGCCCAGGGGGAGCCCAAAGCTTCCTTGTTTGTAAAACACATCGCAGCTCTGTCTCGTGATCAGGTGAGTGAGAAATATTGTTTCACATTATAAAGCGCCCTACTTTCATATTTTAACAGAACCCTAAGAAAATCAGTATGCAATTCTCCTTCCCTTCCGTCTTGTCATTTGGTCTTAAGTAAAGGAATCTGGTCTAAAATGGTCAGGTTTCAAAAATGTGTTGGCAAATGATGCTGATGAGTTTTCCCAGGAAAGCAAAGGTAAAAACATGTAGCGCCACCAGCGGGGGTCTCGCATCGCTCTTGCGACAGCCCAGTAAGGCATCGGATGCAGTGCGGTGTTACAGAAGGAGCTGTTTCGTGTTGATCTAACGGCAACCCCATGCATTTTCAGGGAGCTGCCTGCACTAAACGGGTATTGCCAAAATACCCTTCTGTGAGTTGTCAGAAGCCTCTTCCGCAGGTGTGCAGTTGTTACACGAGGTGTGTAAAGCTCTTCAGTCATTCGCACTGAATTCGGGTGGGCGGGGAATGCGCCTGTGCAGTCTGGCCCGTCCGGGTGGCGGCACTTCTCTTTCTTCCGGGTGGGTGTCTGTCAGTGCTGATGGCGCGTCTTCGTGAATAGGAACAGCTCCTGAGGCAGGCCGGTCCACAGAGGTCGTTTAACTGTAAGCTGGTCTGCAGGAAGGATGCAGACCGGGCACCTGAGGCCAGTTTGTGCCCCAGGGCTCCAGCTCGTCCGTCTGCAGGACACGGCTGCCAGAAGTCAAGTTTGTAAGCATCCAAGAACATCTTTCGAGGTCTGAGACAACCCTCTGCACTCTCCTCCCGCCACCCCCACACAGAAATAGCCTAGGTCCTGAGGAAGCCAACACAGAAAAAGCATTTCCCCTCCCCTTTGCCTCTCTGGACAGCGAACACTGCCGGTCTGGACAGATACCACGGCTAGTCGGTCTATACCATCTTAGCAACTGCTAGTTGTGATCATTCTGGAAGGTGCGTCATGATATCTCATTGTGGTATTAATTTGCCCTTCTTGATGACCGATGACGTGAACTTTTTCGTGTGGTTATTTACCATCTGAGCGTCATCCTCACTGACATGTCTCTTCATATCTTTTGCTCATTTTGTAATGCGATTCTTGGGTTTTTTAGTTACATTTTGACAGTTTTAAAAAACATATCCAAGGGGCTGCATTGTGGCGTAGCACGTAAAGCCGCTGCTTACAGTGCTGGCATCCTATGTGGACAGCGGTTCGAGTCCCAGCTGCCCTGCTTCTGATCCAGCTCTCTGCGAAAGGCCTGCGAAAAGCAGTGGAAAATGGCCCAAGTGTTTGGGCCCCTGCCGCCCACGTGGGAGACGCAGATGAAGCTCCTGGCTGCCTCTCAGCTTTCTGGCTGTTGAAAAGTTTGTTTTTCTCTCTCAGAGGTTAAGTTGCAGTGTGTCTTGGATTGCCTTTACCCTGGCACCGGGGAACCTTGTAACGGCCTGGCCAGGGTGGAAGTCAGGATTCCCCTGAGCCTGGCTGGGGTCTCGGCTGGACCACAGCTTTTAGGGTCTGCAAGGTTTCTGTCTTTTACCCCTCTCCTGGTCCTTGGCTACAGAGAGCAGGGGATGGAGGGCTGTTTAAGTCTGGCTCGTGAGCATTTCTGGGTTGCTGGCTTCCTCAGTACCAGGTCTGCAGACGTGGGGACGTGGGAGGCCAGTGCCGGCCCAGGGTGCCTGGCGCTGCTGCGCCTCAGCCCGGCTCCCTAGCCAGCCTGCCGACTTCTCGCCGCTTCCCAGAGGCGCGCTGTGTTCGCACCGCTTTTAACGTCTGGAGTTCATAGACACGATGGAGTTACCCAGCTCCTCACTTTGATTCCGACACCACCCCTCCTGCCCCCAGCCACACCTCCTCCTGCCTCTGTCCCCTGGGCCTTTGACTTTATCTTTTTATCTAAATCTTTCAATTTGTGAGCAAAAGGCTAGAGCAATATACTTTTTTAAAAAAGTATCAAGTATCATTGAAAGGTTAGTGTGGACTAACATCCTTTCAGCCAATTTCTTTCTCCCAAGTCACTCAGAGCTGGATTCTCGAAGTGAGAAAATTCGTGAACTAAGGCAGGTGTCCTCCAGCAGAGGGGCGGCATGGCCAGTTGGCAGAGCGCTCCCTCTCCGTCCCGAGGGCTGCCCGCTCTCTTCTACCTCTAACCACATGATCCCTGCTACAGGATCTGCGGGTGCAGCGCAGCGAATTTCCCTGCTGACACAGCAGAAACTGCGCTCCTCCAGGGGTCCCTGCAGAGTCCCAGAGAGGACGGAGGCACACGGGAGGGGAGGGGCGGGGGCCTGGAAGGAGGCCTTTGAGCTGCTTCAGAGCTCACTCTAGCTTTAGTATTTCTGTACTTCATGGCAGGCGAGCAGAAAACGCGAGATTCCCATAACTTCTCTGTGTGTTCTTGGGAGATGAGAGCCATTGGCTTGTATTTTTAAAAATTTACTTTCCAAATGATGGAAAGGAAAAACTTACATGCGTGGCTTTGGCTCCCTCTGTTGGCCATTCCTATGTACTTCACGTTTTACACAAGGAAGAACCAGGAGTGATTTTCCAAATAGATTTGGAATCTTTTTCTGCTTTTAGGTTATTTGAGGGTAGCTACAATGAGCCATTTTCTCCTCTTTGGACTAAGATATTACTCTCAGGAGTTTATTTCAATTGTTATTTAATGTTTTCAAATTTATGACACTTAAATTTAGTAATTATATTTTTCTTTGTTTGCTTAGTGAGACTGTAGGTGTCCTTTTTTAAAAAAATTTATTTGACAGGTAGAGTTATAGACAGTGAGAGAGAGACAGAGTGACAGGTCTTCCTTCCGTTGGTTCACTCCCCAAATGGCCACCACTGCCGGCGCTGCGCCAATCTGAAGCCAGGAGCCAGGTGCTTCCTCCTGGTCTCCCATGTGGGTGCAGGGCCCAAGCACTTGGGCCATCCTCCACTGCCTTCCCAGGCCATAGCAGAGAGCTGGACTGGAAGAGGAGCAACTGGGACAGAATCCGGTGCACATCTGGGATGCCGGCGCCGCAGGCAGAGGATTAACCAAGTGAGCCATGGTGCCGGCCCCTGTATCTTTATTTTCATACCTTTTTAAAAAAATTTTTTTTTTTTTTGAAAGGCAGAGTTACAGAGAGGAAGAGGTCTTCCCTCCGCTGGTTCACTCCCCAATGGCTGCGATGGCCGGAGCTGGGCTGTCTGAAGCCAGGAGCCAGGAGCTTCTTCCTGGTCTCCCAAGTGGGTGCTGGGGCCCAAGCACTTGGGCCATCCTCTGCTGCCTTCCCAGGCCACAGCGGAGAGCTGGATCGGAAGAGGAGTAGCCAGGTCTCAAACCAGTGCCCACATGGGATGTCAGCACTGCAGGCGGCAGCTTTACCTGCTACGCCACAGCGCCAGTCCTGGTACCTTTTTTTTTTTTTTTTTTTAAACTTCAGGATTATAACAAAACAGAGGACACATTAGGCAAAAAGAACAACTTCAGGACAGACCTGAGATAAAATACCCGTGCTGCCTGGTCTCTTTCTCAGGCTGTTGGTGGGGAAGGCGCCAGTGGCACAGACAAGACAAAGCCCCTTGTGGGGCCAGCCCCCAGCAGCCTCCAGGGCAGCTCTTCAGACCTGGGGCATCCTCACTGACCACGACCTCACCCTCCCGGCAGCGTTGCCTCCTCCCTGGAGGTGATGGTGGCCGTCCAGGGTGTGACTGTGACTCCTGACCGCCATTCTGCCTCGAGTTCCCGTGCGCGTCTCTCCCAGGCCTCCTCTCTCCTCCACCCTCTGGCTCCAGGGAGACACATTTCGCCACTGGAGTGACTTCCAGACCCCCGTCTCCTGGTTCCTTGGGAAGCACACTGCCCCGGCACCGGCACTCCTCTCTCCGTACCCCTGCCTCTTCCTCTGGGTTGTCTGTATGAGAACAGCAGGTGCTTACGTTGTCAGGAGGTTTTCCACCTGCAAACAGCTCGGGGAGTGAGGCCCCCAGACGGCTCCCTGGCCCCCATGCAGAGCAGAGGAGCCAGCCCCGGGAAGCACTCTCAGGGCAGTTCTGGGGGCTGGGCAGTGACAGGGCCGGACCGCGTGCTCAGGGAGCAGCTGCCCGGAGCTCAGCCTAACATGGGAAGCCGCACGCCAGGGAGGCAGGCCGCTGATCCT